TGTGGCTAATGCTAAGCTTGTTAAGCTTAAAAAGCAAGATTCTGAAGATTGTTTTCAGAAGTGGATCTATAGGCTTAAGAAATGCTCTGAAATCAATACAAAACTAATTTCCAGTAGGTACTCCATGGATGGATGTTAGGCAAAGGTGGAGTATTCATACGCCACCAGTCCTGGGGCATCGAAATTTCAATTTAACCATATCTTTTTATATGGATTGTGGTTAGTTTTAGATTACTCCATTGTTCACGTGTACATTTTATTAGTTTAATTTTTCATATGATAAGAACACTTCACAGCAATCGGTCACATATATATGTGTATATATATATACAATTGTAATCGCTATCTTGTCCATACCCATCCATAATTAGCAAAACTATGTACGTTGTGCAAAAATTTCTAATGACGAATATGATTTGACAATTTCACAACAAACAATATATCCCATATACATATGTACAAATTATAAGTACATATGTAAGTGGTTTAATGATATTTAGGAAATAATGTTTGTTAAGCGGCAAAAAAAAAAACACAACCAAAAAATGTCGAGTCATGCTGAGTTGAGCAGATTTTACTTTGTAGTTCATTCGATTTTATGGGTACCTACATATGTAGTACTATGTATGTTTGTATGTCGAACGATATACATATGTATGCAAATATGCATAGTAAGATCGAGGTTTGTTAATTTCACCAGAGCATTTTGATGACGTCATATCTATATTTATAAAGCCAATAAATGTATACAAATGCATGCATATATATTTGTATTAGATATAGCAAACCGATATCAAAAAAGAGTAAAGTGACAAGCTTTTTCAGATAATTATTTTGTCAAAAACTTAATTTTACATGTTAAGGTATTTTTAAAAAATACAAATAAATATGTGTATATGCATATGAACGCACTTAGGTACATGTGTTACGTACATACCTACATAGTACATTTCTACAAACTTGTCCTACAAAATTGAGGTGAAACTTATTTTTAGTTAGCATATCAAATATTAAATACAACAAAAAAAAAATGCAAACAATATTCTTTTATTTTTTTTTTAAATTCACCCACACAAAAATGTATGTATGTACTTAAAATTATTATTTTTTTCTCAATTTTTCAGTCAAGTTCACATGGCAGTGGTGATAAAGAAATGCACATTTTCTCGCTCTATACTTAGCGGCAACTAGTTTAATTATCGCAAATTAACAGACTTACTTTGTTAATTAATATGAAAAAAAAATGGAAGAAATTGGAATTCTTGAGAACTGAATAATATTATGACACATGTACATACATCACAACCAATGTTATTTTAATATTTTTTTGATTATGTTTAAAGTTCATATATTTACGAAGATATATAACTAGGCTCTGGAATTATGGAATTCTGGAATTTTTTCCTGCCCTGATCATTGGGTGCAGACAATTTTAAATACTGTCATATAGCATTCTCTTCATTATGAACTCTTCTTTGCTCTTCATATTTACTGTTTATTTTCAGAAAAGTTTAAATTATATATAAATGAAACATTGCGGCGTTCGGGCAATGGAAAAAACATTTTTTCTATACATTTTCAGTTATCGGACATACTGTCCACACATTGAAAATAAGCTTAGTTTTCACTCGATTTTTTTGGAAAAAAAAAGAATATATATATATATATTCCAAATTAATTATACATTAATTATCAAAAAACCGAAACATTATCGAGCCCTTTTCTATTAATAATGATTTATAATTCTTCAGTTAAAAATTTCTCTTTCACTAACAAAAAGAAAAATAACTTTTTCACACTTTACCCTAGTTTTATCAAAAAAATTCTTTTAAATAAAAACAGTGAAAAAATTACATAAAAATTAAGCTTGTTATAAGATAAAAAAAAATAATTCACATTTAAAATGCACTTAATTTTTATACATAAAATTATTAATAGTTCACTTTTATTATTTTGTACTGTCCGCCCAATAAACGGGCATATCAATCACTCAATCAGTGCCTTTAATACTTTAATTATGGATTTTTTTTGGAGTGCATACATAAATATACTATGTAGAGATACAATTAAGTTTTTTTTTTATACAATAGAATTAACACAAGTTCAAAAGAAATATTATTTCAAGTGATTGCTAAATTTTATTTTAAATTTTTATAAAAACGAATTTTTATTGCTCATAAACAGTACTCTTTATTTGTAAGCGTTAGCAAATTCATATAATAAAACAAAGTCAAATGTACATATGTAAATATCATACATACATATATAATTATGTCGTATACATTATTAAATTAATTTATATTTTTAATATATTTTTAATTATATTTATATTTCCACAAAACCACGTGTGCATTTATTTATTTATTTCTGCTATAATTTCGAATTGTCTTATCACTCTTTCTGAAAGAGATAATTTTTTTTTTGTAATGCGTAGGTATTAGGCAAAACGCGTGATGTACAAAATTATTTAAAAAGACTAAAAATTATTGCATGTGTACACGCATAACTACTTAATCAATAGCATTAAATTTGTGATATATTGCAAAGTTTTAAGTTCTAAGTTTACAAAAAATTATATATGTATGTATAATATCTGTATTTATATGAATTTATATACAAATATTAACAGATATTTTTTTTTCAAGACAGTTGTGGTGACGGCCCTTTTTCTGGTAACTAATTTGTATAAGAAACCTTTCTTTATTAAGGTTGAACGTAATGAAAAATTTCACGGTAATCAAAAAAAATTTTATCGTTTGGGTTGAAACGTGTAAATTTCTTTTTGTTTTTACAAGAATCGAAATGCTCGCGTTAATGTTAAATCGTTAAGGTAAATCGATAATCGTTTCAGTTTGAGTGTGGCAATTCCACTACAAGCAGACAGCTGTGCGAAAAAAATAAGAAAAATTAATTGAGAAATGTTTGTCAAAAATGACAAAAACATCAACTAACTCCGAAAAAAGATATTTAAAAATAGCGTCTGTTAAAGGTAATTTTTGCAATAACACGTACTTAAACATCTCTTAAGGTATTAATTTATTTCCAGTTACCAGCATAAAGACAATTTGTTGGGTTATGTGTGGCATGAGCGTTGCTGATTTTCCAATTCCTGAATTTATTTGAAGACTTGGTACTTACATACGTATTAATGCACCACATTTATCGAAAAAAAAAAACAAAGTATTTCGTAAGGCGTTGCGTGTGGTGGGCTGACCAGGCTCCGGGTGGCGGATATTCACCAAATGAGAAAAAGAGTTTTGGAATAATGGAATTTTTTTATCATAAAAAAAACTAGCAGTTCAAGTCACTGCATACTTTTTATATATATATTTTCTCCTTATTTTTATCGTTCGTAGACATCCAAAGGCTTCTAATTTGGTGATTACGTTTAAATTTCCGTTAGCACAACTGTTATATATATATATATATATATAAATAATCAAATAAATAACTTAAGACACCTCTATCTTCAAGTGAAACCCATATTTTTGGAGGAAACAATATTTACTTTACGTTAAATTTCGCGTTAAACTTGCCAATGAAACCAGTTTTTCTCTTAAACAAATACAAAATGACGCAGAGCCTCACTTCATGATTGCAAGTATACACTGCGTAGATCACATATTGATAGCTTTTTATACAGATGTGTACCTACCGTACATATGTATGTATCAAAAAGTCTCCGTAAGTGGTATGGACGCACGAGCTCTTAACCGGCGAAGCATAATGTAACTTATATTTTATTTTTTACGAAATAAAGTCGCAAAACTTATTAGAAATAAGATAAAAACACAACTGTGCAAATTTATTTTGAAACCAAACCTACGTAGAGAACTACCTTAGCCTTGAACTCGCAACAATTGTTCTTTTTTATTATTATTATATTTTTCATAACATAACATGGGTTAATATGTACGTATTTACGTACATTCATACATGCGTTGATATATTATTGGCAGCAAAGGTATATCAAATTCTAACGAAAAGCTAACAAATAAAAATATATATAAATTTTTTTTTGACTTAATATTTTTGCAAGTACACTCAAAATGATTGATTATTAATTAAACAAATGACGCTAAAATCTATTTCATTTAAATAATATTACATACAAATATTACTTAATGCGCTACAGATGTTAAATACAATGTGTAAGTAGGTATTATTAACGGTGTCAATAAAAAAATCTCAAAATGTAAAGTTTTGCTTTAATTTTTGGATACTCTATAATAAATAATTGCTTATACATATGCATATGTAAGTATCAATCCATCATCTCCAAAATTAGTGCATTTAAAAAATCTTTCTTTATTTCGCGTTGGTAAAGTCAAAAATTCTTTGTAGCAAATTGAATTTGAAATAAAATTTGCAAAAATATGGAATTAATTTCATTTCAATTCCTCCTGCTGCAATAAACAATTTTAGAGAAACATTTTAAACAGACGTATACAGAAAATGTAAATACATGTATACATATATGTAAATAAAAAATAGTTACATAGGTAATGTAATTGCAGTTTCACCATACGCAAAAGAACATTTCCCATAGCATTCTCAAAACAAAACAAGGTAAAGTGAAGAGAAATCGAATTTATAACAAATGTCAAGGTTAAGCTGATTTACTCATTTCAATACCGGACGGGGATTATCGCATTATATGTATGTATGCACATATTTTTTTAATTTTTTTATGACTGACTGCTTATTGTACCTATATATATATATATGTAGTCGTATGTGCATAAGTATAAAAATCTAATTATATTCACAATGATTATATACACACATGAGTATACGAGTACCTACGTGTTTTCTATACATGTAAATCTTTATTACATCGGTAAAATAATTAAACTAAGTGCTTTGCATGTTGCATAGTATGTCATCGATTTTTCTACAATAAAATTATATAGGTACATATTAAATTCATTTAATATATGAATACTTATTGTATAAATTAGTGTGGGTACTCCACATTTTTACGAATTATTTTCACTTACCGTTTAATTGAGTTATAATTGTTTGAGAACTTTGTTACAACTTCTAGTGTCGCACTATACACCTGTTTATATTCCTTCAATTTAAATGGCTTGGTTTAGCTGATATCTCTCTTGGTAAGTAATTTTTGTCACGAAATCCTCAACCACAGACGAGTAATACATATAAATCAAGTGCTTATTGTGTAATGTTAAAAAATATGAAGCGCACTTTTATTGACCGGTCAGAAATGCACTTAACTGGTGATATATTCGTAAATTGGCAAATCGCCGTTTTTTTTATTAATATTGCGACTTATTTGACTAAATTCAGCCAAGAGAAATAATTATAACTGCTGTATAGTTTCGTGTTTTTATATAGAATGATACACTAAGTTTGTAATGCGCTTTTCAATCGGCGCCAGTTTAATTCGTGAGGTTTGGTTTCCTCAAATAAATTTCATACATATAGAAGTTATATTGCGTTGAAAGGTACCCACTGAATGACCTCACTCACTCTTGAATAAATAGACGGAAATTTTGAGTTTGGGTGGCTCCCACACGATAGAGAAATTTCTAAAACTAAGATTTTATTGTCGGCTCCGCAGGAAAGTTTCTTCGTGATAATTAGTATACCCGATTGTCCACAACAAATCAGAAATGTTGCCTTCAATAACACATGCACACGTCTTTTGGACTGATTGCTAGTTATCCTCCTATTTGGTATACTTTTTCTTAAGTTAAATATATTATATTTTCACTTCCTATTTTATTCACTTTTGTAATGATTCTTTTCCACCGCGTGCGCTGTTGAAACTATACACTTTCCGCTTTTCCAAATTGTTTAATACTCTTTAGTTTGTGAAGCACGCTGCCCGATAGCTACGCTATTTATGCAATTCCCAATGCCTACCGCAAAGATTTATTTCCAATTTCACCGCATGCTAAACGTCGTCGTTTGTGCCTTTCCCTCATTTTTTCTACCGCGACTGCTAAAAACACGAAAAATGGTTTTGACATTTCGTTTTTTGACATTCTGATAATGATGCCATATTTGTTAATAAGTAATGATTCTGTTGCGAAAATGCGAGGCGAATGTCAGATGAAAGAGAGAAGCCGATAACACAAGAACCTTCCATAGCGAACAATTCGATGCTTCTACGCTTTCGTCTGCGAGCAGCCGACTGCTATATAAAGGCGACACTCAGCTGCAAGTCAAGCAGTGACAAAGCAAATTGGTTGGCGTTAACATCAGTGAAGACGTAAAGTGAACGCGTAGGGAATTACATTTAAGTAGAGGAAATTGTGAAAGTTGATGTTAGTGATTATAAATAGTAAAGTGCAGTATAATTGAATTGTGAATTACTGAGAGAATAAAGGACATTAGATAGAATCTTTATAACGAAAGAAACTGCAAACTAAGTTGGCGAGTTTTTATTTAACAATCCAGAGATCGTACCCGAAGGATCTAGAAAATAATCGAGGTTGATTCAGTAAAATCGTAACAATTCATTAAAAAGAGTGTAGGTGTACTCATAATGATTCTTGATAAAGATGGCAGGAACCTAAGCGATAATGAATGGGAAAATATAAATACTTTGTTTCAAAGTGACTTAGCATCACGGATGGTTCTTAACTCGACGAAAGTGTAGGTTGTGGAATTCACTCACCAATCCATGCGGGTTGGGGCTCAAGAATTTACCCGTGGTAAGGCATGCCTACCTGCTGCCGCGACAGTCGGGTCTTTATACCGGAACCACCCGGATTTTTATCTGTTCAAGGACTGTCACTTCCACAATATTCCTCGAAAACCAATACAACTACAACAACATAAACAAATCATTAATTAGATACTTGCATTGCCAAGCTTTTATCAGATCTCTTTAATGTCATTACGCCAAATCAAAAGTGGCGTTAAACAAGCTCTCGGCTAGATGCAACAAAGCCGTGATCTGGGTGCTCGGGCATAGAGACAACCCACGCAACTATATACGAGAGAAAGTATCACGCCACCTACAATGCCTTCTACGCACGTCCCGAATGTGCCCCCAGTCAGTTCCTCGGAAGCCCCTCGAAGGCGGATTAAGTAAACTGTATAATCCTTCATTTGTCGCTGAAAATCCTTTATTTATTATCCTCCTTTAAATTATTAACATAATACATTTTGCAGTATTCCAATTAACTTAATTGTAAATATAATATATAACGCTCCGTTAATATCGTTACCAAATGCTCAGCTGTAGTTAAACCTAAAACTTCTCCTACATCTTCAAGGGTTATCAGATGTTGTTTCCCTATTTTAACCTGCGGACCATTGCGATTTCGTAATCCATTCGCGCCATCGTAGTTCGATTTATATATAAAAATGTGGCGATGGGATTCACAAATAAGTGCATAATTTAAATCCGGCGAGCATTCAACGAACTTTCGTTGTTGCTTGGAAGCTTGTACATATCCAAAGGCATGTAAGTTGCCTTCATGTCGCAAGGACCAATCGTCGGGTTTCGAAGGATTGTACTGCTGCAACCATAGTCCTGCATCTATATCTTGACGTATTGCTATTGCATTTGGAAAACCTGGCCTCAAATTTGTAGAAAAAATCGGTGGAGACGACCCAAGTACCACAGCATGGGTAATTGACTTCGTTACCATATTATAACGCCCTGAAAATTCTTTCTTTTTAAAAAAATATACCTAACTTCAAATATTATTTGGATTTACCAATTTGAACTTCTTCATCTATTGTACCCATAGGAAAGTCGCAATCCTCAATTGGTGCTTCCAAGTTAGCAATAGGCTTTTGGTCCAGAGGTACATCTGATGGTCTGTTATCATCGATACTTTCTTTAGGACCAATGCCATTGGAGAGCAGAGATGGCCATCTCAACAATGAAATTTGTTTGACAAGTGTTATTTGCAGGTAATTATTTTCCTTAATGAGTATAATATTTATTAATGGTAAATTTAATGGACATGATGCCACATATTAACTTACAACGGTCCAAGTGGTTAAGTCGTTATCAATTTTATCGAAAAGTTCATTATCTATTAACATATCCTCAGAGCATTTAACTGTGAGCTTATCTCCAACATATTTTACATTGTAGTCAGATTTTTTCTTCCCTTCCCTAACATCAAATTTCATAGTGATATCGTCATCCGTTTGAACCCATGAGAATCCTCCAATTTCGTAGTTCTCATCATGAAGTGCTGATTTTTCCGTCTTCGATTCAGACTTTTCAATCGCACTTTTCGAACGAAATTTATATTCATGATTTGAGCATATGATAAGAGAATCCGCGCGAGGTTCAAATGCGCAATAATATAAGGAACCTCTGCCTTCAAGTGTGTCAATTATTGAAAACACCCAATTTCCGTTTTGCTCCCATTTAGCCCAATACAAGTGCATAAAATGGCTGGAACCTCCCGACGATTGATTCTCGATTCTTTCAATTCTTCCTATCGCCATACTAATTTGTTTTTTCTCTCGAACAATATCGAGGCGACAATCGTATAACGCAAAGTTCCGAACATTAGTTACTAAATTGCTTAAGCAAGTTTCTGCAATCAACTTCCATTCAGCGGCTTTAAGACGATCGCTTGTGTCTAGCAAAAAAATATTTTGAATGCCATCACATATAATACAATACTTTTCAGATATAAAACGCATGGTGTAATTGTAGTCTCCTTTGACATGTGGCGTAGTTCTACTCAGGCGATAAACAACTTTTATGGGTTCAGCGCGTCCAGTTGTTTCATTGTAAGATGTCCGCATTACTTCCCCCAATCTGGTAATATAATATGAGCTTGTACGAGCCCACGGATCAACTTGCAGTAAATTTTGTAATGTAAAATGTTCTGCATGCAACAACGAATACCTTCAATAAGAGTTAATCAATGTGGAATTGGTTTTATTTGAAGTTTGTACTTACTGATCCTCATTTGGCTCAGCTTTATATGGTGCAGATGACAATTCTTGACGTATCACAGGCACAGGATCTAAGGATAGTTTGTAACCGTCGAAATTGTTTCTAATGAGACTACGGTCAGCACGTAATTCCACAATTTTAGGCATTTTTATTCAGAAAAATTTACAAAACAAAAATTAAAAATCTATAAACGTAAACTTTTCCGGTCGCTAAAAGCTAATGTTGTTGTCGGCTTCCTTTATTTTGACATTCGGTCTTAATAACCAAGCAAACATATTACTTGATTTTCAAATTTATGTTCAATACCGGATTGTCAGTGAATTGTTGGAATATTTGTTGAAACGTGAAAACCATAATCGGTAAAATTTAAATTATTTCAGGGTTTAATGAAAACTTTTCAGATTTAAACACCCGAAATACCGAAAATTCAAAATGGTATGTACGAAATCCAAGAAAGAGGTACTGTTATTTATCGATTTCTTTAATATCCGAAAACAATGTTTTGATATACAAAACTCAATGGCTTACGTTACTTAATATTTTCATTTTATTAAAGAAATTTCGCTGAACATGTTTTTTTTAAATTTTTATTCCAAACCGATACAGAAATCCCATAAGCTTAAATGGAGAACAAAGAAATTATTTTAATTTCCATCCGATTTTGTCAATAATATTTCTTTAAAAACAATCCTTACGAAATAATGACCCATTTTTTTAATAAAAGAATTATAATTTTCTATGCGCGATGTGCTTCAGGGAGTATTTTTAAATAATAATAATCACTATCAGGATTCTTAAGCGAAATGGAAAATATAAATATGTCATTTGATATTTAAATATTATACTTTTACTATTGTCTCATATTGACATAAAATCTATATCACAGAATTTGTTGTAGAAAACTAAAACAAGTTGACCACATTAGTTCCTTCAATATTTATAATTTTGATCCAATGAGACCAATTACAAGACGCATATAACAAACAGCAGAAGGATATGCATTTAGATATCGAAACTGCTCCTTGCAATATTATATAGGCATGAGCTCCTTGGGGATATTAGGAACACCTGCGAGCCTAGTTTAGTGGTCATGTATGAACACAGCATCAGCTTAGTACTTTATTTAAAATGAGACATTGCCACTCTGGCGAACACATTTCCATTTTGACATTTTTCTTTATTTTATTATTCTTTATTTTGATTCCCGTCTTTCATTGCAACATCCTTTTTTATCCAGAACCTATAGGAAATGGGTGGGTAAATTTTCTGGCATTCTGTGCTTGCTTTGATATCAGTTTGTGTGTGCTATTTGGAAAAATTAGTTTCATTGGAGTATCTATACAAATATTTTTAAGTTTGTGAAATTGCTTTTTTTCAGTGAATGCAAATTTTAAATAAATACATAAATTTGGAAAAATTTTAAGAGGAATATTTTAAATTCACACGTCCTCCATACTTATATACTTCAAGTGGGTTTTAGGGATTGCCTTTTTTTATTGTTCTAACTTATGATTTGACGGAAGGGATTCCCTACTTTGATCCTTGAAGAATACACACAGCGTCAATGTGAAAAGGAGAAATATAAACAAAAATTTTAAATAACGTCCTTGACAAGAAAATGGGTAAGTGGCAAATAAACGCTGTTGTTTGTAAGTAAATACATATGTACATACATATGTAAATACGGAAACGAAAAAATGTATGTATATAATGGTGTAAATTGCAAATAACAAAGATCAGATTGTAAGTGTTGCAGGTAAATGTAGCGTTTGCGCTAGCAAAAACCGTTACATTATCCAAATTTTTTGGCAACTGAATATATCTTCCTGCTACCTCCTGCATTCAGCGTCGCCCAGTGCAATTCAATGCAAGTGTTTGAGCTTCATATTGAGAAAGAACGAAATTAGTGCCTTGAGGCGCAGCTTCAGCTGCAGACGTGCTTCTGTTATATCGATATTTTTTTTTTGTTCACATTTCATCTGCCACATTTGCCTATTATGTATTTATAAATTTTTGTTTCAAATTAATATCTTAGTTTACTCACTTAATGCAATAATTTTTTTATTTCTTTTTTCGCTGCTTGCATTTCTTGGATTTTCGATGGCTGCCGCGTGTGTTACACTCATTCTTATAGAAAGCATCGAAATGCTGAAAGCACTTTACGACTTCCAGGCGGTCTATCCCAAAACGATAAGCTTCGATGAAGGTGAATACTTCATACTGTACCAAACCTCAGCGCGGCAACGAAACTGGTGGCAAGTGGTTAGCATGAAAGGCAATATTGGTTTTGTGCCATCTAATTACGTAATGAAGATTAAGGTAAGTTCTCAAATGTTTTGGAGTCTTTCCAGTTTTGATGTAATTAAGCTGGTGCTATTCATAAATCCATGTTAGACTCTATATAATTCACGTTGCGAAATATGTGTTTTTGTGGCTTAGCGATTTTATAATAGTTAAGGGGTGTGGCTAGTTATATATGTGTGCACAAAACGAAACTTTTCTAGTTCAAGGTGCACTATTAACTTTATTCACAGTGACGTAGGTCGGAAATGTAAATTTGAAATTCCAATTTTTCAACTATAAGTATATTTTGAGAAAAACTAAATAAGTACCTATCAAAAAGCAATTGGACATTTGCAGGATTTCAATCATAAATTACGGTTTATGCATTTAATCAGCGTAATAAAAGTTGTATTTGTTTTGCAATGTCGTTTGCAATGAAAGTCGAATGATGCATTAATACCCTTTCGATTGGAAACAAGTTTATTATGCTTTATCAAACAATATCTTCATACCAAATCTGAATAATTTGAAAGTGCACATAAAAGTTATTGCTCCATTCGTTATTTGTTAACTAAATTATGGTAACTACTTGTTCTGATTTATGGATATATTGAGAGGGCGGATACTATTAATTAATCCACTTATAAATGTTGAGATGAAGTAAGCTGATAACGCTTAAATGTTAAAGTAAGTATGATAGAGTGAAGTGTTGGCCACATAACCTTTTCACGGTTAGGTTAGGTTAGGTAAAAGTATCTGTGTCATAAAACAGGTGACACCCATCTAATACGATCGGGCAGCATAGAGTAACATTATAATTAAATTGAGAGGACTTCTTTTGTTATTGTTGAAAGTATTCCCTAAATTAGTCCTTCATATAAATTTGATCTGTTCGGAGCAAGAACTCAACTGGCGCGGGAACTATTGGATTTTAGTTGCCCCTTAAGACAGGCATGCGTTACCATACCACTTGAAAAGCATGACACTTATATGCCCTATCAGACGAATTTCACACGCAGTAAAGAGCGTGAAGATCGGGAAGATTGACGTTTGTGTTTGCATAAAAACATTAGCATAGAGCCCATTAAAACCCTTGCTACTTTGGTCCGAAGACGTAGAAACAGCTTGTTACCTCTCGCTATATAATAATTTTCCCCGTTACTAGAGGATTTTTACAACCCGCTACAACAACAACATTCGACTCTAACGACAACTGGTTCTACGCACCGAAGTATACGGCCAAGAGCTGTCACCCCTTCGGCGGCCAACAACAACATTAACAACAGGAAAACTAATTGAAAAACCTTGGAAAACCAAGGGGCAGATCTTTAGCCTCTTTGGTGATGGTAATGGCTTTAAGAGCCGCCGTGGTATTTCGTGTTCGTCTCATTTGGCGTTGCAGTTATTTGGGTAGACGAATGTAGACTTCTACACCGTATGTATTTTCAGCCAGAACCAGAATTCCACTGACTGGACACCTTTTAATCTACTTGGAACAACTAATAAAGCAGGAAATAATGTTTAATATTCACTATAAAAATATTATAGGAAAAAGAAAAACGATTAAATATCAGAAAATAACCCAACTTCATAACCGTTGGTTGGTACATCCTCTTTGCATCACATACTTGTGTAATATATTGATTAATTCTTTAATTGTGCTAATATTCTTTGCACTTTTCCCTTCGCCCATTTCAAGGCATCCATTTGTACTTCAACGCTTGCCATCGCATAACATAGCGATTTAATAGAGTGTATGTGTATGTGTCGGTATGTGTGTGTACTCAACCTATAATTATCCATGAAGATTGCCTCTTTTTCGGATTTTCTTGTCTCCCGGAGCTGCAACTGCCGGTGATAGCATCAACGCAGAGAGTGGATAAAATGCAACTTGAGGGTTATTGACACGAATATTCGGGCGAAAAGTTTTTATAAACCAGTGTGGATACGCTGACTTAGATAGACTTTCACATAAGCATGTAAATGTAAATTTTTATAAACCAGTGTGGATACGCTGACTTAGATAGACTTTCACATAAGCATGTAAATGTAAATTTCTCTTTGTACAATGGGGTAATATGCAAATGCATATATGTGTGTATGTATGTATCTATGTACAAAAATATATGCACACGAGAAGTAAGATCAGAAAAAGTGACAGTATTTAGACTTTTGGTCTTCAAATTATTTCAAAGAAGTATGTTTTTGTTGCCCTAGAAGCACAGCGACAAAAGATGCGGTGACTTACAGAATTTCGTAGTACCGGTGCATACTTTTATGGGAATCAAGCAGATAATCTGCTAGTCGATATCTGGGGTATACTAAGTTTATGGGGGGAATACTTCTCCAGCCTGCTGAACGTCATTGAAAACGCGTCAACCGGACGTAAGTTCGACGAGAGGGAGAAGAGTGATGAATTGCCTCGAGATGGTATGTAGTTAGTTAGTATCGTGCGGGTACTTCTTGCATGGAATAAGTTGGCGTGCGGTCTGGGTCGAATTTAATCAGTTTTGCGGAGCTTTAAAAGCCAGCTCTTACATTCACAAAAAGAGAGGTCTATTTTGAATTCATCTTTGGATACGGTCACGCACAGCATAGTCGAGATCGTTCCTCCTGATGTGCTCGGCGCAGATTTTTACATAGATACGTCAGCATCATACTGCTATGTTCCTCAAATTTGCGGCTCTGCTGGAGTTACTTAAGCTAATAATGGCGTTTTTTACTGATTATCCTGCCTTACTTTTTTCTTAAAAATAATTCAAATGCTAATAATACAATATTTATTTGCGTAAACATACATATATATGTACATACATATGTTGTTGATCTCATAAATTCAGGGATTTACTCATTGTTGTTTGCGTAGCGGCTGAATTTTTTTGCTAGTTCTTAAGTACAGTGCATGCTATTTTAACAACTTATTCAGACAGGCGGCTGCTATAGTCAAGCGTGTATGAGTGCGTGCTACTATGCGGCGGTTTATTGGTTCTAACCTTGGTTAGACTAACACCTAAAACTATGGAAGAATGGGAGTGTCAAACCTTCCCAGTTTATTTCTAACTTGAAATAAAAGCTTCTCATTGGAAAGGTAGCTACTTGCAATTCACAAGCCCTGCGAGCTCTGAGTCTTTGTGGTAGTTGTTCTAGCAGTTCGATAACCCCAAGATCAGTCTAACTCATCGAGGTCATCTAACGGAAGGTCCAGGAAACGCGCTGTTTCTACGGATTCGGACCAGAGGGAAAGGGGCGTTAGATGAGACTGATCTTAGGAGGAATGCACACCGGTTCTCGTGTTATAACCAAAAACCTCTTCTCTCTTATTTTTCTTAATATTATATTTTTTGTTTAAATATTTATATATATGTATGTATGTTTGTATTTATGTTATGTAGAGGTGATATACCTCTGTGGAAATACTCCATTGGTAGTTACTTTGCAACCGCAAAGGAAGTGTATGAAAATCATTACTTTTCTCACTTCTCTTGTTGCACTGTTGTTGCTTTGATGTTAACACTTTTTGTTGTTGTTGTCGCAAATGTGACCTTATTAAATTAACGTTCTCTTATGCATCATGCACACAATGCTGTAATCAATCTAATTTACAAAATCAACGCGTACAAGGCCAATACTTGGAATGTCCCTGCAGAGAAGCCCTAATTACACAGAAATATTGATTGCTGCAAAATTTTGGATATCTTTTACTTATTGCAACATGATTTTCTTTAAAATCTCAATTCGTGTTGGTGTTAGTATAAAACAAAGTTTATGAGCGATTTTTTTTTTAATTTTTCAAGAGTTATCGCGCCGGACTGACCATCGGTATTGAGTCGCAATATCTTGAGAATATCTGGCCTTTACAAAAATCGAACCTGCTCATGAACTGTGTTGGCAGCACATAAAACAAACTACAGAGAGGAACTCTCTTCCCGTGACTCATGGTCTTCTTACGGTAGCAGACCTAACTCCTACCTATCCAGACTCGACCCCGACATACTTAACGTATACCCTGCAGGCAATGAGTCCCCGTATGGCATTAACCACCTCTTTTCATGAACATCTAATCAATAGAAACAGCTCGTTTCCTGAATCTCGTTCTGGACCTCGACCTCGCCGACATACTCTCATACTCTTATACTAACTTTAGATTGACGTCCTAGAAATCTCGCGGTAGCGTTTAAATTGTACTGTTGTTGTTGTTGTTGTTGTAGCGGTTCACTACCCCCACTTAGGCACAGGCTTAATCAGTCTAAGTCGCCGAGGTCATCTAATGGTAGGCCCAGGAAACGAGCTGTTTCGACGGGGTTGGACCAAAGGGAGAGGGGGGTTAGATGAGAGGGGGCATGTGAAGAGATGGTTAGTGTCATGCGGGGACTCTCCACATGCCGGGCATACGTTAGGTATGCTGGGGTCTAGTCTGGATAGGTAGGAGTTTAACCTGCTACAATATCCAGACCTGAGTTGTGTCAGGGTCACGCGGGTCTCTCGAGGCAGCTCGAGCTCGTTGTCTGCTATGGGTGGTGGTATTTCTCCGAGTACGCCATTCACTGGAAGGGAGTCCATGAAGGTGTTAACTGACTCCTGGTGAATGGCGTTCAGTGCTTGTCGATACGCCGTCCTGTCCAGCGGTTGTTGTGTGTGTTGCTGGATCGTGTCCTTAAAGTCTAGTACTCCCTTTCTGATATGCCTAGGTGGAGGTTCAGCTTCTATTAAGTGCCTACTGCTTGCACAGCAAAGCATTATGCTCCTTAACTCGTAGCATAGATGCTTCCCTGTGCAAGTGATGCTCCGGCGACATCAGGAGGTTTCCTGTCGCAGTCCTGAGGGCGGTGTTTTGGCAAGCCTGTAGCTTCTTCATCTGCGTCCCCCGTTCGTCCCCGGCGTCCAGATCGGAGCAGAATAGTTTACGACCGGCCGGCCAATTGCTTTGTAAGTAGCCAGCAAAGTTTCTTTATCCTTACCCCAGGTGCTGCCGGCTAGCGCTTTGAGTATTTTGTTGCGGCTCTGGAGTTTTGCGGCAATTGCAGTCGTATGCGGAGTGAAGGAGTGCAGGCTGTCTAGAATTACCCCCAATATTTTTGGGTTATTTATCGTCGGAATTTTTTCGTCATCGACCTTTACATCCAGTTCAAGCCTGTATTCCTTCGTCCAGCTGGTGAAAAGGGTAGCCGAGGATTTTGTCGGTTGGATTCGTAATTGTCTTGCAGTGAAGAAGTGGGAGAGATCAGCGAGGTAGCCGTTTACTTTCGAGCAGAGGTCATCAATATCCTGGCCGGACGCCATTATCGTACAGTCATCGGCATACCAGGTTAGGGAAACTCCTTCTGGTGGTGGAGGGAGTTTCGATATATAAAAGTTAAACAGTAGCGGGGAGAGGACACCACCCTGCGGAACCCCCTGCTTAATTTTTCTGGGTTGAGATGTTTTACCTCGGAATATTACCGATGATTGTCGACCACTCAGGTAGCCCATGACCCACCTCTGCAAGCCCGGCGGTAATGAGGATTCCTCAATGTCCGTTGGTAGCACTGAATGATTGACTGTGTCAAAAGCTTTTGACAAGTCCAGTGCTACGAGGACAGTTCGCGCTGTGGTGCTGTGCACTTTTCGGAAGCCATGCTGATGTGCTGCTGGACGCAGATGGTGAGTAAAGGTCGGGAGCAGTAAGGCCTCAAGTGTCTTCGCTACTCTCACGACAGCCGTACTTAAATCGTATTCGTGAGCGCTGGTGTTGAACCCAACCTTGGTCGATGGGCTATTTCCGTTGCGTGTGCTCCATCATTCTTCCATCTCGGCTAGATGCAACCACTGCAATGACTGGATTCAGCATATGACCTGCTCAGGCACATAAAGTGTGGATCACGCGTTGCATACTTTACCCGAAGTAAAACCCGAAGAAGTTCGGGTGCTTTCTTATCCAGCGTGTCAAATTGCACCCATTTGAGTCCAGAAGCGATTCATGGATCCCATATGACGATGACTATTCGATATTTTCGTCTGGCGAGGATATTGATAACTTATATTCGAAAGTAAACTGCTATCTCGCCGACCTTTCCCAATTTTTTACTGCACGACACCCAAAGCTACAATCTGAAATCTTCGGCTACCCTTTTCACCAGCTGGTCGAAGGAGTACTGCCTCGAACTCTATGTGAAAGTCAATGGCGTAAAATGATGACAACTCGCAACCCAGGGAGTCCTATACGACAGCCTCTACTCCTGCACTCCGCCTACGACTTTAATTGCTACAAAAATAAAGAACCTCTACCGCCGGGAGTGCCCCAATAGACATTTGCTTAAGACTGAACTTCAACCTAAACACATCAGGAAGAGAGTAATAGACTATACGACACCATTCAGCACCATAGACAAGAATCGCTGGACAAGACGGCGTTCCGAGTGGTTTTAAATGCCATTAACCGAGAGTTCGTCATTGCCCAAATGGCCCAGGCCCTGCATTACACTAACGAGATATTTGCACGTTACCTAAAACCTACTCATCTAACCCCATTTGCTCTCGGGTCCGAACCCGTTGAAAAATCTCGTTAGAAGACTTCGATGACTTAGACAAGTCTCGCCTGCACCTAAGCGGGAGTCCTTGGAATAGTCATACTACATAATCTTATTTCATTTTCATATAAACTAATTTCAAAAATGGTTGAAAGCAAATAATAGTAATAAAAATCATTTCAAATCAAATTTTCAGGTGGAACCAGATTTTCTCATTAGTTTTCTAAACTCTTCAATTGAGTCGCTTGAAAAGTCTACCGAAAGTGAGATAAATGGAATAATGCCAAAGGAGGAGCTATTAGAGCGGCTGCGTGAGAAGAAAATGTCCATGGAAAAGCTGTATTTGGTAATTTTTAAAGAAATATTTTCACAATTCTCTTCCTTAATAACCAATATTTTAAACTTTTAGGACTACTCGGAGCGAGATTGCGACTCTTCCTTGTCATTTTCACAAAGTATTAGTGAGAAAAACTACTCCAAATCGCAAAGTAATCGCGCCACTTCCGCGTCGGCTCAGCAAACACCACGCAGTCCACAAAGTCCACCACGATCCAATCGTTTGGACGGTAATAAAAAATCGATGTCTAGCCCCGCTGTTGGTGTTGTAATGCCACAAATTATGCAAGAATCCACTAGCATGGGCACCATGCAGATACAGACGCAACAATCACAACTACAACAGCTGCAACAGCAACAGCAACAGCAACAACCACAACAACAACAAGCACAGTCTAGCAATAAAGCCAGTGATATAACACAAGATAACAGTATCACATCGGAGCCTTCGGAGACTACAACAACAACAACGACAACCAGTGAAGATGTGGTGACCACATTTAAAGAATCTAGTCAGAATCAGAATTGTACCAAACACAATGGCAGCGAGCGAAAGTCTGATACAGGCGATGGTAATAGTCGCAATGGTGGTAATGGCGGTAATAGCTATAATGGTGCTGGCACCACTGGAAATGGTGTAGCTGGTGGCACGAATACCCTTACAGATACCAGTGAACATTTCAATGATGAAAAATTTGCCGAAAAATCGGAGGGTAGTGAACCGCCTAGTGATGGCCGTGATGTCGCTACATTGGCTAACGATGGACGTGGTGACTTTACCAATAGCGTTGAGAATAGTCAAGCATTGGATAGTGAAGAAATCGCACTGCAGCAGGAATTGCAAATAGCCACTTCTGTTACATCGACAGTTACAACAAATGCTGTTATGTACGGAGCGACACGGAATAATTTAAAAGTTGAATCATCGGATGTTTATCAAATTGTTGATATAATAAGACGTAATACGAATTTGAGTTTCGATTTGTCATGCGAAGCATTACGTGTGGTCTTAACTAGTCTAGAGCAATTGTATAACGGTGCCATAAATCCATACCTAGAGGCAGTAGCGATACATGTAACCGATAAAGTGGAGACACCCAAAGCTTTATTGGGCATGACACACGACTCGAAACGCCTGCAATATATATTTTCACAATTGGCTGATTGCAAAAACGACACTGAACAACGTTCATGGATGTTGTACGAGGATGAAGATGATATTATACAGTTTCTCGAGGAACTAGTCGAAATATTGGTAACAAATAATGAGCCTTAAATCGATTTATTGCTTTTACATTTATATTTTATTTATTTTATTTTTGTAATCTAATTTTAGAACAATGCTGATGAAAATATTAGTTGTTATGAAATGTCTTGCGATCAATATCAGGTGCTAATCAATCTCGTACAGTATTATCAAATGGAAACCCGTTGGGCCATTAAACAACTTTTGCTGAAGACTTTTACCGCTGCTTGCCATTTAGACCATATTATAGTTGATATTTTACTCACTTCTGTATTGCCATTGGAAATCGTAAGTATAAGTGTTTGATGTCTAAAAATATATACATATGAATGTACGCTAAACGCTACATACTTGAACATTATCATTTACTTATTTAAAGTCATAATCATTCATCATTAAAGTCATTTAATGAATTTATTAAAAAAAAAACGTTCGGCATTAACTTTCAATAAATATTTTCATTACAGGTAGAAGACATGAAAACCAATTTTGCCAATTTAGATAAATTTAAGAAACTTGTCAAAATGTTAACAATAATATTTTCGTTGGGTCAACCTATGCCAGTAAATCATCAAGGTGAGTGGAATTTTATATCAAAATAAATTCATTGGTCTAAAAAACAGTTAGTTACATCTACAAAGGTAACTTGCAGGAATACTTTTTATTCCAATTTTTAGCTGGAGTATTTTACAAATACTTCAATTTTGCAAATTACACTAAAACCACTTTAATGCCTTGTGGCTTATATTAAATACTAGATTTTGCTCGCGACATTTTTTTTACGTTATTTGCCTTGTTTTAACATATAAATTTTTATGTTAAAATGTTTGAATAATTATAAAATACTAGCAGACTCGGCGAACTTCACCTCACCTCGATGAGTCTTTGGATTAACTCCCGAGTGATGATAAAATATAAAAATATACTAGTCTTAAAGTAAATTATTTGATTGAACTTGAAATTAGCAGTAAGTTTTTTTTAATGCTCGTTTCACCTTCTAATAGTACGCATTAGTCAAGTAAACAACCCTCGCTTAAATGTAACCAACTCGATTCTGAGATGAAAAGTTCAAGCAAACCGAACCGAGCCATTGATCGGTCTTAGATTATTTCTCAAAAACAAAAGAATTTTAAACAACCCTGCTTGGGTAAGCATTGAATAGTTTTCCTGCAGCAAGGTATGCCTGTGCTAAGAGACACCTGAGGCAGGGTTTTTATCCGGCCAAGTACTGTAACTTCCGCAACATTTCGCAAAAACTATTTCATCGAATAGTTCGGCGGCTAAAACAAGACAAAACAACAACAACAACAAAAGAATTTTAAGTAAATTGAACCAAAAGTAGAATTTTTAAGAAGCATTTTATGCCTGTTAATCTGCGCGATAAGCTGCCAATTCATTAAACCGCTGGTTCAATTCCCGGAATAACGTTAGATTTTATTTCTTAAAAACCTTCCTGCTAATGCAAAGCAAAAGGCTATCTTTACCGAATTCTAAAGTAAATCGAACCATAAATACGTGGTTTGACTCCGAGAATGACATTCACTGGAAGAGACTTCGGGAAGGTGTTGACGGACTCTCAGTGAATGGCGTTTAATGACTTTCGGTAAGCCGTCCTGTTCAGCAGCTATTGTAGCGGGTCGCTGAATGCAGTCCTTAAGTTCGAGTACTGCCTTTCTGATGTGCCTGGGTAGTGGTTTGGCTTCTAGTAAGTGCAAAGCATTATCCTCATTAACTCGTAACGCAGATGCTTCGCTGTGCAAGTGATGCTCTGGCGACATCACAAGGTTTCCTGTCACGCTCTTGAGGGTGATGTTTTGGCAGGCTTGTAGCTTCTTTCTCTGCGTCTGGTTAGAGGAAAAATCCTCTTTTGTCGCACGCTTATTTTATTCACAGACACACTTTCCAAGTTTCATGTCTTTCCGATCAGTAGGCTTTGCTGTGGGTTGATCTCTCTCTGGTCAAAGCTTTTTATAAAAAAATATTTGATTTTCATTAAATTTATGTATTGTAGTATGTTATATTAGGTGTAGTAAAAAGAAATCCATTATTTTTTCAATAGATGGCGTTATTTATCTGTAACTCGCGTTGTATAAGTCCGATTGGGCTCCGCTAGATGACGTTAGAAAGATGACATTTCGTGCTAAAAACTAAAAGTAAAGCAATCGGTTGGCCAAGATTTATTCAGTCGCAGTTTAAATGAATAAATATTTCCGTTTCCATGCTACGCACAACAGCCAGAGGCCACACCACTATTTCCTTTTTTTTCCAAAAAAAGATGCTTCACATCAAATTAAATAAGTTTTTAATTGTTTTATTGTTATTTTCTTCGTTTCAGACTATCTCGGGGTACATTTTGCGAGTTTTCTTTTAGAAATCGTTGAGGGCAATAATCCTGAAAGCCTTGTTGATATGGTTATATCCCTGATATTAGCATTTAATCTACAATTTACGGACTTCTCACAGAATGTTGTTGTCGAGGCTATGCAAAGCTTACCGAGTGCGAAAATTTTTACTGAGAAAATTCTATTACTATTAAATAGAGAAGGTAAATGTTAACTCTTTTTATTATGTATAAAATATTTCAAATAAATATGTTTTTTGTTGTTGTTACAGAGGATCCAATTAAGTTGTTAAAACACTCTACGGAGACTATGAATTCAGTGCTAAAAATGTTTATCGACATCTTTAGCAATCCAGATACTGCTGGCATGTTTTATACAAACGATAACAAAGTGCTCATTGACATACTAGTGCGACAATTGTCCGATTTATGTGCTGGTAATCCGGTATGTCATTCGTGTATTTGTGTACATACATACAAATAAATTTTTTTATAATTTATTTATTTATTTATTTTTTTTTAAATTCGATACAGTTACGTCGCTGTTACTTGGAGCTATGCCGACGCATTTTACGCAATACCAATTACACTGAACATCAGCATCGTAAGCAGGACTTTATGAAAATATTTACACGTATATTTTGTGAAGAGACAGAATGTAGCGCATCGGACCAACAGTTAGTGCGGGAGATTGCTAACGAATTTCCACAACTATTCAAGGCTTAAAAGATATTTATGGTATTGGCGAAAAACGCCATTTTGATGATGACTGAGGTAGTAGTAAATTCAACATGTGTATGTATATACACGTAGATGCATACATGTGTGTATGTATTGGCTTTTTATTTGTGATTTGTGATTTGTAAAATTTTTTTTTATTGTTTTATTATATGTGTTTTTAGTGATTGTTTATTTCGTATGAATTTCATTTATTAAAAATAATAATAATAATAATAACAACAAAATATCGAATAATTCAATTATTTTAGGCTTTAAACATTTATTTAAATTTTCATACATAGACATGTGTACATATTATTTGTATATTTGGTTATTAATATTTTAAGCATCTTAACAAACAAATATGTAATGCTCATATAGTCGACAATTCAAATACACATACAAACATAATAAAAAAAATATGCGTTTGTGCTTGTCGCATATATTTATATGCATGTAGAAGTAACAAAATGCATCTAATATTAGTAAATTTAAGCAATTAGTTAAGCAGAAATATTGAAACAATTTGCAATATTTGAAATTATACCTGAAACCAAAAAAAAAAAAAATAAACATTATTATGAAATGTAAGATCATTTAATATCTATGTAACATTGTATTAGCCATTAGTACACGCACTCACTCCAAAGGCTACTTGATAGTGCCAGGAACGGGAATATGAAAGGAAAGCTCAAACACTCTTACTTGCGATTTTAATTAATTATGCATGTGAATGTGTGCGTTCAATTGAATATTTGCAATCGAAGTATAATCTTTGCAATTATATCGTTTTTTATTTTATGTTGTACATAAATTGAAAATTAATGGCAAAGATTTTTTTATGAAGTATTTAGTTTATTTGTAGTAGCTTCTTAGCTTCTTAAGGCAACCATAACTAGTCCAGCTGATATATATATATGCATATGCATTTAATTTTTATTTATTTATATACATTAACATATATATATATATTTTAAGCATGAATATTAAAAAAAAATGGCAGCTGTACAGAGTGCGGTAGAGGCAATAACACATTTTTACCTTTAAAACACACAATTCTAATGCAGAACAACGTAACGAATGAAAAAAAAAAATAACGAAAAAATATATACATACATACAGACATATAACAAAAATTTTAAAACAATACCATGTTAAATTTGACTATATAATCTATATAATGAAATTAAATAAATGACTATATACAATTAAAAATTTATAAAAATATGTTATAGCCCAAATATTGACAAAAGAGAAAAAAAAACAGAAGAAACAACTGAAAATTACAATATGCAAATATGATATAATGAAAATACGATTAATTTAAAACTAAAATTTTCTGAACCGTGCTCGATCAACTTAAATAAATTATAATCAGTAAAAGTAGTTTAAAAATATTTAAAATAAATAAATTTACAGTAAAACTGAAATTAATGACACTTAAAAAACCCCTTTTTTATTGCATTCAAATTCAATAAATTTATCGAAATATAGTAAATTTACAAATTTTGAATAATTGTATTAATAGTAATAGTATTTCAAATTTTCGTATTTTTATTTTTCTCTAAATTTAAGTTTTTTGGTAATTAATTACATATATATGTAAAAATGCAAATGAGAAAAAAGCAGCTAGGTCTGCGCTGCCCTTGTCAAATGAGGATTAATATTTATATATAAAAAGTATTGTTATCTATACGTATATTAAGTTTGTTGTTATAATGTATGACTGTTTTAAAATCTATTCAAAAGACATCCAATGGCAAATGTGTTCAATTCATTTTTGAAAAGTCTATACACACATGCACATTTTAATTCGAGATTAAATCAAAAAGTTTTAAGGTGAAAGTAAAAAAAAAAAAAATATTTGTTTTATTTTGAAAAGGTTTTTTTTTTTAGTATTAAATGAGCAATAACAGCAATTAAATAATGATAAAAACATTTTATGGTGATTTTCTTACAAGTAGAGTTATGAAAAAATTTTCGGCTGAGCTCTGTCAAACAAATGGGGGAACATCCAGCTGGCTTCGAACGTTTGAGGAATTTTTATGGCAAGTTTATTTCTTTATGCCGTAATTTTCAAATGAAGTCATATATATATGTGCCTCAACGATGGAGCTCCAGCTTTTGGTTCCATTTTTCACAATTTCTTTATAAAGATTTTTTGTTTTTTTAAAAATCAATTTCTTATACAACTAGATATGTATATCTGTGATTCTATATTAGTTATTAAAATTTACTGGAACTACAGTCCCAATTGAGATTGGGTATGTGATGCTTTATGTATGTATGTATGCCGTGCGGTATGAGAGGTGGGTAGTTGCAGTATAAGTCATGACTGCCGTAAGAGACGATTAAAATCGAATAGTTCCGGCGACAGTCGGTTGTTTATACCAGACGACCCGGATTTTTTTGTCGGCAAAGAGCCGTCACTCCTCCAATATTCCCCGAAAATAAAATTGAAGAATACTTTACGGTTACAAAAACAATAGGAATAGAACTAAGGTGTCATTCTGGGCTAACCAAATAAGAAAACGATTTCATTAAAGTCTATACACACATAGACAAGGTTTATTATTATATTTCTGAGAAGTATGCGCAATTCATTTCTTCTTTTCGCAGATTGGTCTTTTCATCGGAGTGGAGGTCTTCCTCTTCCTTTGCTCCAACCGGCAGGTACTGCATCGGAAACTTATTCATCCGTTTTTTGATTCGTTGACCTATGTCAATTTCGCCGTATCGTTCCATCGGCTACAGAATTTGGCATTCGGAAAATCTTTCTATAAAAACTCCTAACACCGTTATCAACGTTCATGCCTTTGTACCATATATCAGGACGGGAACGATTGGCGACTTGTACAGTTTGGCCTTAGTTCGTCAAAAGAGGACATTATTGAAATTGTCTACTTAGTCCAAAGTAGCACCTGTTGGCAACGGTGGTTCTGCGCTGGACTTCAATGCTGATATTATTATTGGTGTTGGACTGGTTCCTAGATAGACGAAATTATCTACGACTTCAAAGTTATGACTGTCAACATTGACATGGGAGCTGAGACGCGAATGCGACGACTGTTTTTGTGCTGACACGAGATATTTCGTCTTGCCATTTGTTCGAAAAACCCCAAGACTCAAAACTGCAAATTGGAGGAAGAGTGCGGCCGAGAATCGGTTCAGAGGTTACAAAGCGCCAATTTTAATTTTAACAATAATAATAATAATAATAATAATAATAATAATAATAATAAAAGTAATAATAATAATAATAATAATAATAATAATAATAATAATAATAATAATAATAATAATAATAATAATAATAGTAATAATAATAATAATAATAATAATAATAATAATAATAATAATAATAATAATAATAATAATATATTTCCTAGATTAAGAGAATACCCCTTATCTCTTCATTTTCCGCTAAGCTAGTAAAGATATTTGCTATTTACCTCCATTTTCTCGGGCATAAAACATGAATATATTCATTGTGCCCACTTCTGTTAGTTGAAATTATCTACGATGATGGTGATGATCTTCACCATATAACCACAATACTTGTTGTATACCCTATTGGGCAGCCTCTTTTGTACATTGACATGTGGGTGCATAGTTGGAGCCCCTTTTACGACTACCCACCTGGAACGTTTAGCAGCGAGATTCATGCGATTCATATTCATGTTGGGGCGGAAAATTCGAATTTTACCATCAACACCGCGATAGGCTTTCATACCTTCGAAGAGCTGTTAGGTGAAGAGCGATTTGGGTGTGGAATTAGTACACCATCTAGGTACGAGTATATGTATCTATTGTTGCCATATTCTAATTACGTGTTATTATTTTACGACTCTCATACAAAGGTATGCAAAAACAAAAAGAAGAAAAAAAATTAATAATAATAAAATAAACTATTCAAAGAATGTTTACAAAAATCTGACTTATATTGCTAATTAGTACTTAATGCCTACTTACATACATACTAACTTTAAGTGTGTTTACATATATCAATTAAACTGTTGGTTGTTCTAAAAGTAACTGAGATTGTATATACATCTGTATATATGTATATTGGCGACGCGGTAGCCCGTTGGTTAGGAAAGCGTACCGACATTCGGAAGGCTCGAGTTCATATTCCGGTGCTACCAACATTCAAAAAAAGTTATGGAAAATAAATTTAAATAAAAAATTAAATTAAATTTTTTAACTGCGGTCGCACCACGGCAGGTAATGCCCACACTTTCGAGTTTTTATCGTACATGAAATACATGCTTCTTGTAAAAGAACCATCAGCTGTTCGGAGGTGGCTTAGTATAAATTGTAGGTCCATTCATTTGTTGGGAAAACATCCAATTGGAGTAGGAGGCTCGGCCGAAAAATCGCTTCAGGGGTTACAAAGCGCCAATTATATATATATATATATATAACTGATATTAATAATTTACTGTTAATAAGAAACTCAGCACGAGTAACTGCAAAAAAAAACATATTTACACGTGCTATAAATTTTTTTTGAAAGCCTATGAAGATGTTAAAAGTGTATTACGAAAATGCTTTTTTATTGTATATATTTCCTTTCCTTTTTATTAAACAAATGATTTGCGCAATAAACAAATAATCAAATAAAATAATAAATTAAAAATAATAAAAAAAAAATATTTATTGTTGCGCGCGTGGAGAGTTTTTTTCTTATGTTGGTATACGAGTGCATGCCAATGAGTTAGGATAATATTTGGCTATCGATTTTCATTTCCAAAATTGAATGTAAAAGCGCTGGGCTATATTTTGATATCTGTCAAACTTAACTGTCAACCAGTTCAGTTAAAAATCAATCATTTATCAAAATGGTTCACTTAACAACCGCACAACGTGCTAGAACTGTTTAAATCATTTAGAAAAATGGTGATTCAAACGTGGCCACGTTTCGTACCTTAAGATGAGATAAAGGTGCATTGACGCATCCGACACTTCAAGCAATAGGTAAAATTTTAAACTAAGAAAGATATTCTATAAAGCCTGCGCATCATCATTTTGCTTGTTCCACCTCAAAAATCACTACTCTAAGTGAAAGTACATCTGAAGACCCGAATGTGTCTATTTCATGGCATTCTCAAGAGGTGAAACTTTCCTATTGTACTTTATGACGCATTTTCCACTTTGACTTACACATCTGTACATGCATATAAAGTTCAGCT